TGTTTACCTGTTATTATTACACGTTTACCTACATATATATCAGTATGTAAAGGTATGTTAAGTTGTATCACCAGACCGGACTGTTTACCTGTTATTATTACACGTTTACCTACACACATATCAGTGTGAAAAGGTATACAGCCAGCTTGCATAGATTATCATAGAATACTACAGGTACGAAATCCCTGTACACATATCACTCAGTTATGGAAAATTGCCACGAGCATTGTCAATGCTTCATGCATGCTATGGTAATTATTTATGGTGTATTTGGCCTTGTAGAATCCTGGAATATTGTCCAATTGGAGAATACTGTTTCTCAAGTCTTTTAAAAATTACGTCTCTTCTCATTGCTGAAAAGCAATTAAGAAACAAAGTGGCTTCACAAACACTGCAAACAACTCGATTGTCGAAATTGTGAAACTCATGTCATTAACATGATCACGACTAAGCTTCAAACAAAGTCTCTGTAAGGTTTCAATTTGCAATATGAACAATTATTTATACAAGAGGTCCCAGAGGGATCTTGGCGCCCACCATTGTACCATCTTCATTAGTTCTTTGTCAGTTTAAATTTTTTTTTCTCTTCTTTTTTTCTAATCTGTTTGAGCGAGTCATGTTAACAGTATAAATGCACCTTGAGGTAACTTTTGATCTAAACTTAATACTGATGTGTATGAAAGACAACCTTCAAAGTGAGTTTGTCATTTCAAATATTTACTAGTACATTTACTTTACTAGAAAAAGCCATAACAAACATTCACTGTCAAAATCCAAGATGGCTGCCTGTCAGCCATGTTGTTTATCCGATCAGTCTCAAAAGATGCCCTGCAAAACAAGGGACCAAGGGGAACCTACATATAAAATTTGAGAAAGATCCCTCTGGTACTTCCTGAGAAATAGCGATAACAAACCTTCACTATAAAAATCCAAGAATAAAAATTTCTATGCTTTTGGCCCAAAATATGGAAAAAAATGGAGAAAAAATATCCCCACTTTGACTTTATAGTATAAAAGGTAGACTCTAAAAGAACATTCATGCAATATTTCATCACATTAATGCCCTTATTAACTGATTGGGAAGCATATAACGAAAACTCAACGTCAAGCTAAACGCAATATTTGACGCCGTCGCCGGAATAACAACACCTTGGTCTCACTTTCACTCTTCCGTCGCAGCGAGGCAAAAATCAGATTCAACAAATTTCAACAAATTTCTCCCGTCGGAAGTAGCCGTCATATGTTTCCGTGTGTCTATTTTTATGTCGTTTTCAAAGACAGATAACTTGTATACACTAAAAATAAATTCTCCTTTAAGTGGCCCGCCCGCACGAACAAAAGCTTCGTTTGGTATAAAAAAAATATCTTAGATCGTCAAATTAATTATCAAAACAGATTTTTAAAAATTTAACATCTTTTATTGATTTTTCAATATGTCAACTTGGACGAATTCCTGTAATTTCATAAATTTATTTATTTCATTTATTTAATTATAATATAGAATCTGTTATTATTTTTGTTGTGCAGTCTTATATCGGTTTTGGTTGATGGTAACTTATTTCTCATTTTATTTAAAATTGGTGAAAATTGGAAGTTTGTTGCATTACAAGGTTTACGTTTCATTGAAAACACTGTTTAATCGATATAAGAATATCTCCTTCGCTCTTCAGAAGTGGAAAAAAATCGGCGAGGAGATATGACCTCATTTACCTACGACATTTTCGTACGTTTGTCAGACTACAAAAAAGAAGGGTTCATGAATGAAATATATCACTGTTTTTTTCAGGTATGGGATCATTTTGAGCAAGATAAAAAGTGTATTATGGAAAACTGCATATTTACGCATGTTTTTAAATCGGTGATTAATTCTTATGTTTTCTGGACGAACTTCGGGTAATTTTTGTGTCAGTTTACAGACGATGGCTAAACGTCTAAAATATCCTTGTGTAGTGTCCAGCAGGTTACGTAGGTAGGAGATATAGCTTGATAAAATGTCTGCGCGGAAATATAATCCATCTCCCTAAATAATACCTCTGGAATACATCTTTTACCTGGAAAGTCGGACGTCTGCCATAGAAAACACTGAACCATGTATCATTATGATATCATGAGAAAACGTACCTCGATTCCGGTGACCCCGAGAGCCATCTCTATGTTCTGTGTCATTCTGAAGGGCACTTTCTCAGGGACTCGTAGACCTTTCCCCTTCTCAAAACACACATTGTAATCGATATGTACCACCTACAACAGAGAAAACATCAGATCTTAATAAGATTCATTCCAAAAGTTTGAAATTCCCGCTCGTGCATGTGTCTGTAAACCTGTTGGTTATAGTCGATACCGGTGGTATCAACGAGGGTTTGATCAATGGGTCCGACATACCGCGTTTTGGTAAACCTGTTGGTTATAATCAATACCGGTGGTATCAACGAGGGTTTGATCAATGGGTCCGACAATCAGTGTGTTAGTTAATTAAACCTGTTGGTTACATTCAATCAGACATAACAGTGTGTCTGTGAACCTGACTTAACCAACAGAAAAACTATCTTTGAACAATTTATAATTATATAACATCCTGAATGTTACAAAAACAGCTAAAACTAGTCTGAGTGAAAAATTTAAATTTTCTTTTATAAACAATCAAATGTTCGTTTCAATGGTATCACAATATGATTCAGGAAATCACTAGAAATACGTAGAAATGCATGAAATACACTTGGGAAGTAATGCTTGTGACCTTTAATTCAGCAAGAGACTGATTTAAAAAAGTTTTATTTCTTAGCATATTGGTATTTTCATGCTCAGCAATTGTATATATTATTTTAGGGTGAGGATTTCAATTGTTTTCCATGTTATGATCAAGGGATAAAATCTCAAGGGGCAGGGCCATACCTCAGGACCACTTCTGCTAGCATGCTTGTGTTCATCTCTTCATATGCTCAGCAATTGTATATCTGGATATGGGGTAGGGATCTCAACTATTTCCATGTTACATGATTACATCCTAGGGACTAAGCCTCAAAGGGCGAGTCAGGCCAAGGGGCCAATATGTATTCATCTTCATGCACAACAACTGTATATAGGGTTAAACGGTTACGATCTATTCCAACCAATTATGACCGATATCAATCTCATAATTCCAGAGGAAGAATCAATAATAAAAAGCATTAAGGCCAAATTAACCCTTTTAAGCCCTTCCTATTAGCCCCTCCCACCTTGCTGTACCTTAGTAATTTGAAGCTTATACATTTATTGATTATTCCAAATATCTTAAGACAAACCATTAATTACTTTTGACGTTCACAATTATAATAACCAGCTCTCATAATTGGCTCTGCTTGTAAACCCATAACCACTGCCAGTATTTAGATGCATCCGACATATAATCCCTAGGGAATCTTCCAGGGAAGTCGTTATGTCCTACCTGGCTTTGTGCCAGACCCATTATTGTTCTACATGAAATTCTGCAATGATGTCTTATCCAGTTCTCATAAATTAACAGGACACAAACCTACATTATCTAGGCCACCTTACATGTATATGTTAGTCAATTTCCTTACCGAACAGCTATATTTCTGAAAATAAGGTCACTTATCGTCTTTCCAATGCCTGTTTACCGTCCATTTAAATAATGAGGTCATGTTTTGTGTACTTTTCCACAACTGTATGGCGATCACATAATAAGCCGTTACAAGCCGTTAATTTGTGTCCTGTATCCGTGGCATTACACCTACGACGTCCAAACACGACAGCGGTAACGACCAGCTCGGTTGTTGTAATGGTGGATTTGAGAAACAATTCGATTTTTTTCTTTTCCTACAAAACTTCCTCCAGAATAACAGAATTCTACAATAAACCTTTAAATGACTTTGTATCATGCTCTGCTTTCTTAAGTAAACATGAAACCATTCAGAAATGATGGTGACTTTCATTGGCAATGTGATGCCGGAGTCTGCTCAGAAAGCTGATGTAAAGGGTTGTATTTTTATATCTATATCTTATAGTCAAACAGCCTAAAGGGGCAATGACTTTACATATACAGTCAGGGATCAATCTAGGTTTTAGTGGAAACTACCCTTTTTCAGATTGGGGGGAATTTAAATTTGATACAAGGCTAAAGCGTCACGAAGGTAAAAGATAAATGTATTGTCCGACATACATGTGTGCAGTATATATTTGATTTTTAAACAATTTTAAGCTTAAAATTGTAGAATTTTTGTTTAAATTATGTGAAGAAAATGTTAATATGCAGTATTATGCATTTTAACTGTTGAACTTTAAAGAAAACATATATAGGGGAAATATTTTGAAGAAAAAACAGCTATTTTCTTGTTGAAATAGGGGAATTTTGAAGCACATAGGGGGAATTTCAAAGAACAGGGGAATTTTCTTCTGTAGGGGAAACTACCCATAAACGGTAGTGAATCAAGTCTACATTGATCCCTGACAGTAAATATTTTCTATAAGACTATTGCATGCTCTCCACTGTCCTCAAAACTTGTATATATCTTCTAAAGAGAACATTTTCTGCAGCAATTTCATAATGCTCTTATTACAAACTCAATGGGTTATACAATTTCATAATGCTCTTATTACAAACTCAATGGGTTATACAATTTCATAATGCTCTTATTACAAACTCAATGGGTTATACAATTTCATAATGCTCTTATTACAAACTCAATGGGTTATACAATTTCATAATGCTCTTATTACAAACTCAATGGGTTATACAATTTCATAATGCTCTTATTACAAACTCAATGGGTTATACAATTTCATAATGCTCTTATTACAAACTCAATGGGTTATACAATTTCATAATGCTCTTATTACAAACTCAATGGGTTATACAATTTCATAATGCTCTTATTACAAACTCAACGGGTTATACAATTTCATATTAAGAGTACTGCGTCTCCCAGGGCACCCGTCCTCATATGACCCTGGCTGTTGTGTCTCCCAGGGCACCTGTCCTCATATCACCCTGGCTGTTGTGTCTCCCAGGGCACCCGTCCTTATATGACCCTGGCTGTTGTGTCTCCCAGGGCACCCGTCCTCATATGATCCTGGCTTTTGTTTCTCGCAGGGCACCCATCCTCATATGACCCTGGCTGTTGTGTCTCCCAGGGCACCCGTCCTCATATGGCCCTGGCTGTTGTGTCTCCCAGGGCACCTGTCCTCATATAACCCTGGCTGTTGTGTCTCCCAGGGCACCCGTCCTCATATGGCCCTGGCTGTTGTGTCTCCCTAGGCACCCATCCTCATATGACCCTGGCTGATGTGTCTCCCAGGGCACCCGTCCTCATATGATCCTGGCTTTTGTGTCTCGCAGGGCACCCATCCTCATATGACCCTGGCTGTTGTGTCTCCCAGGGCACCCGGCCTCATATGACCCTGGCTGTTGTCTCCCAAGGCCCCCGGCCTCATATGACCCTGGCTGTTGTGTCTCCCAAGGCACCCGTCCTCATATGACCCTGGCTGATGTGTCTCCCAGGGCACCCGTCCTCATATGATCCTGTCTTTTGTGTCTCGCAGGGCACCCATCCTCATATAACCCTGGCTGTTGTGTCTCCCAGGGCACCCGCACTCATATGACCCTGGCTGTTGTGTCTCCCAGGGCTCCCGGCCTCATATGACCCTGGCTGTTGTCTCCCAGGGCACCCGGCCTTTTATGACCCTGGCTGTTGTGTCTCCCAGGGCACCCGGCCTCATATGACCCTGGCTGTTGTCTCCCAGGGCTCCCGGCCTTTTATGACCCTGGCTGTTGTGTCTCCCAGGGCACCCGTCCTCATATGACCCTGGCTGTTGTGTCTCCCAGGGCACCCGTACTCATATGACCCTGGCTGTTGTGTCTCCCAGGGCACCCGTACTCATATGACCCTGGCTGTTGTGTCTCCCAGGGCACCCGTACTCATATGACCCTGGCTGTTGTGTCTCCCAGGGCTCCCGGCCTCATATGACCCTGGCTGTTGTCTCCCCGGGCAGCCGGCCTCATATGACCCTGGCTGTTGTCTCCCAGGGCAGCCGGCCTCATATGACCCTGGCTGTTGTCTCCCAAGGCCCCCGGCCTCATATGACCCTGGCTGTTGTCTCCCAGGGCACCCGGCCTCATATTACCCTGGCTCATTTAAGGACATGCATCTGTGTATGTGTGCTGGAGGCAGGGTATGTTGCTGTAACTGCCTCTTTTGATGGTGCCTATCTGATGCCGACTTAAGTGCTAACTCGATAAAATACCATGTTGAATGTACTCAGCATAGAATTCTGCCCGGTCACATGATACTGACAAGGGGTGAACAATGAATTCCTTTTGTCTAGGGTTTCTTTATGACATACAAGATGGCATACAAGATTCAAATTACATAATTAAACTTGAAGAATAATTATTTTGATTTTAAGTTTTGAAGATTCATCCCTTTTTGACCTGTTGGGCCCTATCCCTTTGCCCTAAGACAGCAGCACTCTTGATTTATTAAAAAAAAAAAAAAAATTGCCCCAGGAAAGCCATGTACCGACTTCAGTCCAAATTCTTTCAGATATTTTGGACTTGTTTCTTTTTTTGAAGGAAAAGTTACTGATGAAGCGACAACTGAATTAAGCTGCATCCTAGCATCAACTTACTTATACATTTGGGTAAACTATGCATCCTGGCATCAGCTTACTTATACATTTGGGTAAACTATGCATCGTGGCATCAGCTTACTTATACATTTGGGTAAACTATGCATCCTGGCATCAGCTTACTTATACATTTGGGTAAACTATGCATCCTGGCATCAGCTTATTTATACATTTGGGTAAACTATGCATCCTGGCATCAGCTTACTTATACATTTGGGTAGACTATGTATCCAGGTATCAGCTTACTTATACATTTGGGTAAACTATGTATCCAGGCATTAGCTTACTTATACATTTGGGTAAACTATGTATCCAGGCATCAGCTTACTTATACATTTTGGTAAACTATGCATCCTGGCATCAGCTTACTTATACATTTGGGTAAACTATGCATCCTGGCATCAGCTTACTTATACATTTGGGTAAACTATGCATCCTGGCATCAGCTTACTTATACATTTGGGTAAACTATGCATCCTGGCATCAGCTTACTTATACATTTGGGTAAACTATGCATCCTGGCATCAGCTTACTTATACATTTGGGTAAACTATGCATCCTGGCATCAGCTTACTTATACATTTGGGTAAACTATGCATCCTGGCATCAGCTTACTTATACATTTGGGTAAACTATGCATCCTGGCATCAGCTTACTTATACATTTGGGTAAACTATGCATCCTGGCATCAGCTTACTTATACATTTGGGTAAACTATGCATCCTGGCATCAGCTTACTTATACATTTGGGTAAACTATGCATCCAGGCATCAGCTTACTTATACATTTGGGTAAACTATGCATTCAGACATCAGCTTACTTATACATTTTGGTAAACTATGCATCCTTGCATCAGCTTACTTATACATTTGGGTAAACTATATATTTTGTAAGAAACAGACACTGCCTATTTCAGTCTGTGGTGGCCAAATATCTCCTGCTTATTTGCAAAAAACACATCTTGAACTACAACTGTGGCTGGTCACCAAGTGCTCATTGCAAACTCGGAACCAAAATAACACCAGTATGCATTGTCCTTATGCTGCGACTGTCACAAGTTCAGCGGGAGAGGGCTGTTGGCATGCCCCGTGCGGGAGTGTCATTGGCATGCCCCGCGCGGGAGTGTCATTGGCATGCCCCGTGCGGGAGAGTCATTGGCATGCCCCGTACGGGATTGTAATTGGCATGCCCCGCACGGGATTGTCATTGGCATGCCCCGTGCGGGAATGTCATTGGCATGCCCCGTACGGGATTGTCATTGGCATGCCCCGTGCGGGAGGGTCATTGGCATGCCCCGTGCGGGAGTGTCATTGGTATGCCCCGCGCGGGATTGTCATTGGCATGCCCCGTCCGGGAGTGTCATTGGTATGCCCCGCGCGGGATTGTCATTGGCATGCCCCGTGCGGGAGTGTCATTGGCATGCCCCGCGCGGGATTGTCATTCGCATGCCCCGTACGGGAGTGTCATTGGCATGCCCCGCGCGGGATTGTCATTCGCATGCCCCGTACGGGAGTGTCATTGGCATGCCCCGTGCGGGAGTGTCATTGGTATGCCCCGCGCGGGATTGTCATTGGCATGCCCCGTGCGGGAGTGGCATTGGCATGCCCCGCGCGGGATTGTCATTGGCATGCCCCGTACGGGAGTGTCATTGGCATGCCCCGCGCGGGATTGTCATTCGCATGCCCCGTACGGGAGTGTCATTGGCATGCCCCGTCCGGGAGTGTCATTGGTATGCCCCGCGCGGGATTGTCATTGGCATGCCCCGTACGGGGGTGTCATTGGCAGGCCCCGTGCGGGAGTGTCATTGGCATGCCCCGTACGGGGGTGTCATTGGCAGGCCCCGTGCGGGAGTGTCATTGGCATGCCCCGTGCGGGAGGGTCATTGGCATGCCCCGTACGGGATTGTCATTGGCATGCCCCGTGCGGGAGTGGCATTGGCATGCCCCGCGCGGGATTGTCATTGGCATGCCCCGCACGGGAGTGTCATTGGCATGCCCCGTGCGGGAGTGGCATTGGCATGCCCCGCGCGGGATTGTCATTGGCATACCCCGCGCGGGAGTGTCATTGGCATGCCCCGCGCGGGATTGTCATTCGCATGCCCCGTACGGGAGTGTCATTGGCATGCCCCGCGCGGGATTGTCATTCGCATGCCCCGTACGGGAGTGTCATTGGCATGCCCCGTGCAGGAGTGTCATTGGCATGCCCCGCACAGGAGTGTCATTGGCATGCCCCGTGCGGGAGTGTAATTGGCATGCCCCGCGCGGGATTGTCATTGGCATGCCCCGCGCGGGAGGGTCATTAAGTCAAGTTGCACTACAGACTTGTCGAGTGTAATGGGAATCGGAATGGAGTGTATTGCGACAAAAGTTAAAGGCCAGTTAAATGACCATTTTGTCAACAACATAGCAGGCCAGTGCTTACCAAGTTATATAAGCAGCATTTTCCTACAGCCAAAAAAAAAAAAGTTTCAGATTATCCATCTTAAACATCAGACATGTCGCCTATACAGTATGACTCAGATGTTCTCGGATGATGTGTTAGGCGACATCAAACAAGCCGTCTAACTTGCAGTAGCTGGCTTAAGTGCTGGCCAATAAATGAGACATTTTCACTGACGATATTGGTGATTTGACATGTTCAATTTAAAGGACACTGCAATGCTGTTTGAAATCTAACCAAACGATGGTCAGATATACCCGGTACTTAACATGTGATGCAAGAAGCTTGACTTACCCAATGTGTTTAAGTTAAATAATATCAATTCAGCAGGGCTTTTTTTTTTATTATGACATATAAATAAACCAACACTTCAATGAATAAATTGATACCAAGATGAAAGTAGAAGTAGTGTTTACCGTTCTACGTTTGCATAGTGTATATAGGTTTGTGGACGTGTACATCGTGGACGTGTACATTGTGGAAGTGTACATCGTGGACGTGTACATCTACTTTTGTTCACGTTGTAGATTGTTGGAATCGACGTAATTAGTGACGGAAAGTTGTGTTTTTAAATATGAATAACATATGTTGTCGCCGTCAATGGAGACAACACAAGAGTGGTATTTTTAGGTAAAAATAACATCGCTATGATGATTTGTTAGACCTGAATCATTCACGAGACTTGTGATAATCAAGTGCATGCATCTTGAAGGTGCCTTGAAAGACTACAGGTTTTAAAAATATCTTCTGCATGGGGCTGCCATGTAACATAGGTTGTGAAGTTGTTAATGCAAGCCAAACAGCTGCAAGATTCTGATTCATAAGTGATCTCCAAGAACAAATCAGGGACGTTGTACAGTGTGCATACAATGTTGGCAATGTTACCATAACACTCAAAGAAACTTGCAGACAGAATATGAGCCATTTCCTATATATAGTCCTGTAGGGGGGTATTCAAACATTTGCGGAACCATAATTAACTTCAAACTAATCCTAAACTTTTCCAGTAATTAGGGTCAAACCCCAGAATCATAAAACTTTTTAACTTTTTAGCATTTCCTTAATTCTTAAAATCATATTAAAAAGGTTTGTGTCCTAAAACAATTAACTAAAATAGTAAAACTATTTATGAATTATAACTTGTTCAGAAATCACATCTTAACTTGAAAAACAATTGATAAATGCAGAAAAAATTCACAGTAGAAAATTGAACAGAAAAGAAAATATGAAGAACATTTCAGTTAATAATGTTTTTAGAGTTTTGAAACACCAGGGCGACAAGAGCCCACCTATGGATGATCAGAGAGAATGATTCGAATACACATGCATGTATCGCATATATTTTTTGGTCTTTCTATTGTATTAAACCTGTGAACAGAAACAAAGCCCTCTGTATTATACTTGACGGGAAGCTACATGCATATTAAATATGAAAAGCTGTGTCATGGAATCATGGACAAATTTGATACAAAAACTGTTGCATACTGACCTCCCCAGTGGCTAAGTCGACCAACACGTTGTCCAGATGTCGGTCACCCAGGCCGATGATGTACCCGATCATGGACATGACGGCTGTGGAGCGGGCGTAGGTTTGGGTGACATGCCACCACTCATTGGAGCCCGTACTGTGGCACCACAGTTCCCTGTAACAAAGCAAGACACTCTTAATTCTTCTATTCTTATACAAAGGAACAGTGAACATCTTTCGTTGAGGAGAAGGTAATTGGGATCGGAATCTTATGCTTGAGACATGAGTGTAAAAATAGACACTCTATAAAGTTATGGCCGTTACTGAAATGAAAATGAAATTTTGGGGTCAAATACATGCAAATATATATGGATAAGTCTTTGCAGAACTAGAATGTGTTTAATTAAATAAGAACGACCAAGGACCTAACACTATTCAAATTCTTCAAATAATTTCAAGATGTTCTGCCCATTAGTATCAGAAAGCTACTTTTCATTTATTTTCAAACAGCAATGAAAAATGCTGTAAACTGATATTGATCTCTCTTGTTGGCTCTGGTTGAAGTGTGAGATAACCAGAGTATGTGAAGAAAACGCCACTAGCAGACAATGCTGGAGTACTGACCGTGCCAGGAGGTCTCCAGGAGTCTCCTCCTTGAGTTCCTGAAGAACAGTCCTAAGGACGGAGAGTGGCCACTCCTTCCTGTTTTCCAGGTTGGTCACTCCCTGAAAATACAAGCATAAAGTCAACTAAAAGATTATCATACACTCGGAGCACCCAATTACTATTTTTCAAATGTGTTGCAGGAAAAAACGTATGCTTTAATTAACCAATCTTTGGTTATTTCTATCTTATTTCAAAAATAATCATACTGAAGATATATGGAGAAAAGAAACATAAGTTACATAAAGTTTACACAAATAAAGAACATGATTAAAGTTTTGACAAGGAGCCTACCTTGTCCCTAAGGGCAGGCGTGAGTTTGTTGTAGAATATGTCGCTAGGCCGGGCAATGCTAGGTTGTTGGGCGGCCTGGGTCGAACTGCTAACACTACCAGACTGCTGAGGAATGTCAAAAGTCAAGTATACAAAGTGAGGCTTACACTAATCAATATCGCACAAAGTATTTAAAAGGTTGTATAACGATGTTAAAACTGTATCTTTGCTTAGGGTTGTTCTAGAATTAATTGTATGGGAGGGATGGAAGGCCCTATATCACCCATCAAATATTAAATTGATCTGGATTTAACCCCACAACCCATAATATATTACTATAAGTGCCTCACATCCTTCCCATAGGATTAATTCTGCAATAGCCCTTACCTGTACTAGTAGAAATGTAATTCACATTAATAAAAAAGAAAATTTAATTTTGGAGATAGACAACAACTATTTTTTTTAATTTGCACATTTAAATTTTCAAAAATTACTTCAAAGGGAACAAATATGCGAGTTTTTCTTACACAACCAATTTGTTTGTTATTTTGCTATTTCCTTTGTGTTACAGGACTGATACCTACCTTGTTGGCCTGAGCCAAGGCGTCCCTCTGTTGCCAGCGTTTGTAGAGGCCAAAAAGTGGTGAGGCTCCGTCCACCCACTGAATGAGTCCGGAGCGCGGACCGAGGGGAGTCACAGAGTAGTGACGGGCTCTATACAACTGTTGGTCGCCACTGCGTCGAGAAAAAACCCACAATGTTTACAACACAACTTTAAAACATACATAACATTTTTCTCTGATAGTAATGCAAAGATTATTAGTCTGGTATGTAAAAGCTACAATTGTGTCACAAAAAACAAACAATATGCTCTGGAGCATAACGGACTTGGACACTAGCACAGGGACTACTTATCTTGATGCAACTGGTCAAAATTGTAACTACATCTTGTCTCAAAGAAAGTAACGTTAATAAGTAATGCAACTAGAATTTTGTTTTTTTAAACAAAAATATATGTCTCCCCTTATTAGCCAATAGACAATCTTTCGCATAAAAAATCAACAAAGGGCCATATCTCTTTATATAGTGGGGCACGAGACCCAAATTTAGAATGCGACACTCCTACTTCCCAAGATACATTTAAAACTATAGCAGGTTTGGTCAACGTAGGTGAAATAACATGGAAGTTATGCCGTGGACAAACTTCGGTATGAAAAAATAAACAAAGGGCCAGAACCCTGTATATAATGGGGCACAAAACCTGATTTCAGTGCGAGACATTCCACCTTCCCAAGATACATAAATATGGTAAGTATTCAAATCAAACCAAGGGCCATAACTATGTATATAGTGAAGCACGATACCTAATTCTAGTGCACTGCACACCTTCTGTGGGTGATGCAGGTAAACTTCAAGTTTGATGAAGATACCTTTAACGGTTTAAAATTTACCGACCGGACAAGAATTTACGGTAAATATTGCACTTATTTGACCTTTGACCTTGAGGTTTTGTTTCAACAAATTTTATTGGACAAAAAATTGCACAATAGAATAAGACAACAGGCTTAGCCTATATAAGTCTTCTCCTAAAAGGAGGTGAAGGTCACAGTGACATAATTCCAGTGCACTGAACACCTTCTGTGGGTGATGCATGCATATCTAAAGTTTCATCAAGATATCTTTAACGGTTTAAAAGTTATGGCCCGGACAAATTGCGATTAGAAGAAGAAGAAGAACCAGTACATTTACTTATATAATATGTCTCCCTTCATTCGAATAAGCTAGGGTTGGTTGTTGGTTGTTCAGGATTTAACATACTATCAATAGCTATGTAAGGATGTGCCTCCATGTGTGTTGTGTATGCGTGCCATGTGTGTATGTGTTGAACGGAAAAACTTTTAAAACTAAAGCAAACAATTAGATAATGCTGGTACTGACTTTGAAGCACTGGCAAACATGTTGTTGACGATACTGAGAAACTGCATGATCCTCTCATCAAGATGGAGATCCTCTAGGCCTTTGAACAGGTATGGGTATCTGAAATAAACATAGATTAAATCATTAGGTGGGAGTCAAGCCCATGCTAACGACACATGGATCTAGAATTCAAAGCTATACAAGATTGGTAGCATCATCCTGAACAATTAAACAGCATTTTTTGCATACCTACTGAACTGCTATAAATTTGGGTGGGCTTATTTCAAGGCATAGGCTTATTGCCAGATAAATATGGAATTTCATATCAACGTTTGTGCGAGGTGATGTTTGGTCTCCTCGTACGGCAGGTAAACAATGGGATATGCTCACTCAGTCTTAGCTTGAGGAAGAAACCAGCTGGTCTTTAATTTGTTAACATGTTCACAGGTGAACGTGTCTCTTCACCTGTGAGTCTTTTGAATATGGTTTTGTGTATTAGGTAACCATCACACACTATTTGATTCAGTTGGAATATTCATTGATCATACTTTCTGCTGAATTCATTTACACAACACGCTTTAAGATTTGTCAACACTGCATATATGAAAAGCTTCTTGTTAAAAAACTGAAAAATCACTGTTTACTTACTTTTTGCCATCAGATCCTATGAAGACAAGTTTCTTGGGCTTAGTCTTGGTGGGAAGTATCTGCAGGGTGTTGGACACTGATTCTACAGTTACAAGCTATATAAAAGAGGAAGGAACTGTTTTAAACTTTCTGAAACTGCTTAATATTCACATTGTACAAATAACAATAGCAGGAAAACAATGGCCGCGGAGACGTTTAACCCTTTCACCACTGTAGACCATAATGGACTCATCCAAATCAATGCCTTGGAGAGTCTACTAAAGTTGCTTAGGGTTGAAAGGGTTAACTGACCTATACACAAGTTCTACTGGGCCGCTACATCTTTTGTGATTACTGGAATAGTTTAGGGGCCATTTAACAGTCTGTTATAAATTGAGCACTTATTCAATTTGCTTTGTTGTGAAACTCAATATCCAATTGTTTTATAAAAAACTTCTGAATAGCGAAATTTTAAAAGTGGTGTTTTAAATCAAATGAATAGCTCCTAGGTATCGCTCCTACAAAGCGTAAACAGAACTTGAGTACAGACCTAAATGTATTCTACTTGTAAGGGCGACATTAATTTATTGTAAATATTTAGTTATTCACATTTTATAGATTTATGAGTCATAATTCCAATAAATATTAGATATTTACTTTAAGTACAGTAATATAAACTTCCAAGATTATATTACATATTTTTTGTTGTTATATTAAATATATAAAAACATATTCATCTTTTGATCTGACACCAGAGTCGACACTTTATCTAAAGAGAGACTAGAGAAGAAGACTTACTCGTCCCGAGGTACCCAGACCAGGCATGGCGATGACCGTGTTTTTGAGGGAGGCCAGCTTTGGACTGATCTTCTCCATCTTAAGAATGAGGCTGCTGCGTTTCTGAGCCCTCTGCTGCAAGCTTGAATGTAGCTGGAAACACAAATACATATTATACAAACAGCGATATGAAACATTCATTCATTGCTTAATCGTGTAACTGCTGTTTTAGTCTGACATGGATGCAGACTTTCTGGTCTAACTCATGATTCACCCCTGAATTCATATTTGAACTCTTCCAATTCAAAGGTTGGAATAGTTCATTATGAAACTTCAGGGGAATTTGGAGGGGGGGGGGGACTTTTGTTTTTAAAGTGGTAATGAACTTTATCACAATGAACTGCAGCTTTACTATTTTTTTTCGATTTTGATTATAAATGCTGAAATCAATCAATGGAAAGTTGGGAAGGAAGTTTTCAAGAATGATTTGAAGACTTTCAAGAATTTTTCATTTAGACTGGGCCATGCTGGTGATTGCCTGTCTCACCTGTTTGAAGTGTTGCCAGCTACTGTTGGGGTGGCTGGGATTGGTTGGGTTCCTGAGTTTCTCCATGGCAGCGTTAATGAGTTTACCGTAAGTGTCGTGGAACCACTCCTCGTGCGGAGTTTCCGGTACTTCACTGGTAATCTCCTGTAGTTTCTCCATTGTATACAGCGTCTGTAAATATCATCAAATGTAGTCAGACATAGTTTTCTCTGGTTCAAGCTTTAGTCGGTAGTGATGCACAAAGTCATTTTTTTTTGAAGTATTTCTTTGGAGTGTCGAGAATTGAGTGTTTTTGTATATTAAATGATTTGTGGTGCAGCAATTCATCAAAGAAAACATATCTGAACGCAAAGTCGAACCAAAAAGAAATGGAGCTTAATGTATAATCTAAGTAACCAAAGACAGGAAACCTAATGCGAAGCCTACTAAAAGTCAGTGAAGTAGAAAATATAGTACACAATGGCCTTTAAAAGGATAGAGCTAAAAGCGGAGTCTAACAAATGTCAGCAATTAACCCTTTCACCACTGTAGACCATAATGGACTCATCCAGATCAATGCACGACAGAGTCTACTAAAGTTACATAGGGGTAAAAGGGTTAAGATGTTTTACAGACTGACCAACAGAAATGCAAACATGTAATGCTCCTCGGACAGACAACAACAGAGACCCTTCCACAATGTCTTTTTATGACTATGCTTGATATCTATCATACTGGCTTCATGATGGTCCTGTGCTTCTCCTTGATGATTGCCAGTTTCTCATCCTTGGTCAGCGAGCTGTTGGCCATGACCTTCTTCACCTCAGCATCAAGCTGGCTGAGCTTACGGGAAACGTCCTGATGTTGTTGATTGAGCGTGCCAAGCCAGAGTTCGTCCCACAAGAGCGTGATACGTCGGAGCTCCTGCACAAGCTGTTTCACTTCGCCGATCATCCTAAAGAAAAATTTCAAAATTGTAATAATCAAAATCTTTAATTCAGTTTAAATATTTAAACTGTAGACCATTTTAATTTAGGACGTCATTTGAAACACTGCCCTACACGTTTAACTTCTTTTTTTTTCTACTTAACATGACAGCACAGAGTATAAAAAAAAAAATTATATACACAATAATTTCCATAGGCTGTTTTCAAATCACAGCTTTCATGGTCTGAAAGCAAATTCTCTTGTCTTAATATTTTTTCAGATTATATGTGACCTCAATCAAATTGAATTTATCTAGATTGCAAGAGGAAACACACTACCTTTTTATTAACGCTTTTTTAAATCACTGGTCAAAGATATTTAAGCGGTATCAATATTTTTTATTGAATTCACTTGTCCAAGCTGACATTGCTTGATTCTATATTTTACTCTATACAGATTACTTCTAAAAAGACTTCCGGGTTAATGAAATATCCTAAGGCCTGACTACAGTACCTTGGGTTGTTGACAGCGAGGGTGTCGACAATGGAGGTGAGACAGTTCTGAAGCATGGTGGTGGAGGGGTCCTCTTCCTCCCCCTCCTCCTCCTGGGACTGTTGCTCCTCCTCCCCACCCTCCTCCAGCTGCTCAGCCAGGTAGTTGTTTAGTAAGTCTGTCAAACAAATTACAGTATTAAGTAATAACAATTTTGTATAAATGCACAGCAAATTGCTTTTACAGTTAGGGCTAGTACTTGCTAAATGATCATAAGGGAAGAGTGGCCGAGGAAACGTTTCACCTATCAAAAACTAGAAAACATCAGTAAAACATGAAGTCCCCCTTGGGCCAGTGGCTGCCCTTTCAATAGCAGCGGTGACCTTGGTCTAGACCATGGGACCCTGATATACAAACTCAGAGGAGCCTAACCCTTGTATAAACTTTGACAAAAATTTGTAGCGAAATAAAGGGATGGGATACAACACAAAAGATACGGTTAACACTATTTGCCACACACACACCTCTCCATAAAATGGCATAAAAATGGCTGGATTCGTGTTTTTTCACTTAAAACAGAAAAGTGTAATACAACCAATGCTAATTAGTCGGCAGTATTACAACAGGACATGTATGTTTTCAGGACAACATTGCGTATATATATGTTGTTTATAAAGCCAGACTCACTGTTCCTGTTCTGTTCCTTGGTGAACTTGTCTGTTGACGAGCTGCCGACTACGGCCGGGTACACGATCAGGTGGGGTGCATCCTGGGCCACACGACATAGCAAGTCCGAGATACTCTGTCTTACGTACGACTCGGGATGACTAAGACGTGAAAACAGCTGAGGGATGATGCCTGGATAGAGAAACGAACATAAAGTGAACATAATTGTACTTTAATAACAGTACTGACCAAATTTTTCATTTTATAAACAGAATGTTTTCATCAAATATATTCACAGTTAAAAAGGAGCAAAAATCACAAGATCCTAAAACCCATAGCCTATATAACATTAGCCATAATTTTTATATGCAAATATTTGTTGTTCTGTTGTATCTGGAAAAAACTGCAAAAATTAATTCAATAAGAAAGTTATATAGTATAGTTCATGTATTAAGTTTTAAAATATTATTCCAATAAAATCAAAAGTATCTTATTATCCATAAATAACCTGTCTCTAAAATTGTATAATACAACGGACCATGAACATATGTAAATACATAGCCAATCATACAAGGGTGAGAGACTATTTCAAGACTGATGAGAGTGTTCAGATGTTTAAGATACACACCTTTCCAGGGGGCGGTGTGTGTACTAGCCAGACCACTCTCCAGGACATTCCTCAGCTCCCACGCATGCTTCACCAGGAGTCGCAATAGTCGTAGAGTCGCGATCACATTACCGTCCTCGTCACCCTGAATCTTCTCCGTCTGCAAATCAACACATCCATAACCTTAAAATCCAGCCAAGTGCCGTCTCACACGCTCGCAAAATGTCCGTGTAAATCATTAAAGCTCACTATCCAAATCTGTATAGCCAAGATTGTTTGTTTGTTTGTGTTTTACGTCCTACTTAACAGCTATGGTCATTTACAGACGTGACAGGTTTTGGTGGTGAAAGAATGCCGGGTACCCGAAGAAAAACCAGCGTCCTACGGCCAGTACCTGGCGACTGCCCCACGTAGGTCTTGAACCCGCGACCCAGTGGTGGAGGGCTAGTGGTATCAGAATGTCAGATGCCTTAACCACTTGGCCTTCGTGGCCCCCATATAGCCAAGAACACATGCAAACTCAATGATTCAAAAAGTATCTTTACAAACCGAAGATGTATTTTTTCTGAATTTATAATTTCTCATAAATAAACACTATAGAATTCTTATGTGGGTAAATAAAATGTAAAGCTATATAATGATGACATAACTTAATCATATCCAAGCTTCCTGTAGTACCCAGATGTTTGGATTTGTAAAAAAATCATGTAGGCAGGGGACCAGATTATCTGTTAGTACCCAGATGTTTGGATTTGTAAAAAATCATGTAGGCAGGGGACCAGATTATCTGTTTAGTTATCAAAAGTCAACCCATTCCAATCAAATTTAGATATAATTGTATCTCATCTGTAAGTTGTAAAATGAACCAGTTAGTGGACAGAAATTGTCTGAGGGGAGGTAACCCTTTAATCGTACCATTCCATTGAGCTGTAGATAGGTGAAGTAGGCCTTGGCCGACAGCTGGTAGTAGTGGTAGACACGGTGAACCACTCCCCTCCACACGTTCAGTAGAGCCTCTATACACTCGTCGGACGCTATCTGTAGTGACAGACAGCAGGACAGTAGCTGTTTCCTCGTCGTCTCCGTCCCTTCGTCACAAACGTCCTGCAACAATCCATAATTGTTTCTACACTGAAGTCATCATCATAGCCGAATAGATTTTTTTCTGACTGGCTGATATTTAAAACAGTTTTCAACATGGAAACATTCAACTCGCACCATAAAGCTTTATTACATTTTTTTTTTATAAAACTGCCAACAAAACAGATTAAAAAAAGAAATGTTTACATATCTACAAGTATAAGTATATTTTCATGTGTAGTGACGTTTTTTATAGAATATTAAAGACAAATGACTGGTTGTATTACCGTGTTGCATAAAAATTCAGCAAAGTGAATTTTGTTCAGGGACAAAAACCACACGAAGTGTGATGCTACAAAATTATACATTTTTTTTGGTTGACCAATGTCTAGTTGCCAGGGATGAAAACTGAACCACTCTCGTGAAATCTGGTTTATGTCGTACCTGGTCCTGTTCTCCGATGTCCTCCTCGTTAGACACCTGTGTGTGTATCTGACTAAGAACACTTAACACCTTGGCGGTTTCTTCATTACTTGTACCCTATAATGTAAAATACAACTCTTGGTGTCTCGCTACATAAACCAGTCTTCCTGCATACATTCCATCAGAACTAATAGAGATCTTAGATGAACTTTTTTCACCTGATCTAAGGGTAAAAAGGTATGATCGTGTTCTATCTTATGCATATAGGATAAATCCATATTGTAGCTGTATATTTTTTTCTTCTTTACTACAAAAAGAGAAATATTTCAATTCTTATCTTACCTTTGGTAGGAGTGACAGCACTTCAGCCTTTTCATCTGTTAGAAGTTCTACAGACCCATGACTGTAGAACAAAAAGCAATATTATTAATTATTATCATTCCTACGATGGCACATTTTATTCAAAATAAAACAATGTCTTTCTAACTCTGGCTCCAGTAACCTAGGTCACCCCCACCCCCACCCCCCACCCCTTCTTTGCTGTTGTGTTATTGTTCTGTCTCATGTACCATGTTCCGCTTGAGCTACATCCTTGGGTAACATGACATGCCTCGGGTGAACAAGTATTCATGACACACACACCCAAAAAAGGACAATAAATAAATATCGTGACAGCATGAACAAAGATATTTCAAATTTTCCAAAGTTTCTTGGAGGTTCTGATAAAAAAAGTTCTTTAGTTTCCATAGATAAATGGTATTCCATACAAATCAAACTCAGCCAGTAAGTTCCCAACACCAGATAACAAAATGAAGCTGTGGTTTTTTTTTACCTGGCATTGTCAACAGCTTTTCTTCCCCACTTGTAGCACCAGCTGGCCAGGGAGAACCAGGCCTTACTGAGTGTGGCTGATTCCATGGTCCCCAGGTGGAGGATGCGACCCACCACACTGTCAATGTCAGACAGAATGGGATTGTCTCCAATCCTCAGCTCTGTAACAAAAAGGAATTCTCAACATTCCAGTATCTATGCTTCTCTAAAACTGTATAAGATGAAAGATTTATTTTGGGTTGGTATGCAAGGAACTTTTTTTGTAGCTGGGCGGTACATGTGAATTTGAGCCAGCTAGATTGCATATATACAATGTACTGTAAATCACTTCATTTTAGCAAAGAGATTAAATTTCATGTCAATTCACGAGAAGACACATTTGCAAATTACAATTTTTCACAAATATTATTTTCTACAGATAAACACATGTACTACCAAAACTGAAATATCATCCTCTCAATTGCAAATTCAAGTATAGGCGAGAAATAATTTGCAAAATAAAGTACACATGAAAATACAGTGATTTACGGAAAACAGTGTAATAACAACAATGATTCAACTGAAATCATGAAAACCGTTAACATAAATACATACCACATGTTTGTTGTAATACAGAAGCCAACTGTTTACCATATTAGAGGAAAATATCTTTAATGTGACATAGAGGATAAATAGATGACAAATACTTTCGAAATGACTGCAGAATGAAAATACAGTCTAAAACAACAGTAGATTTACCTTTAATATTGTGCTGGCAAGTGTAGAATTATCGACCACTTATACTATTGAATATAAAACAATAACAACTACCAACCTTGATCGCTGTCCTCCAAAACCAAGCCGAGTTTTTTCTTTGCGCCACGCTCCTCTGTTTCTAACAACAAATTTAGGTTGTGAACCAGAGCTGACACATTACTGTCCTTCACTTTGTCCTCTGAAGCACCGGTCAATTTCAGCTGGCCAGCGACACTGACCAGCATCTTGTAGTCAATCTGTAACCACTTGACCAGTGTGAGGAGTGACCGAGCCGACAGCTCACTACAGCTAGTTAGGGTCACTTTATCTTTGAGGTCCACCTGGAGGTCACTACATATGTACCCCACCACACTACTGCTCAGGATGTTAATGCTATCCTTGTTTTGACCGATGCTGTGTAGGAGCTTAGCTCCCTCACGTTCCACCTTAAGGATATCCAACTGACTTGAGGCTCGGTCAGGTGTATGGAGTCTGGTCAGTGCTGGCAGGAGAGCGTCTGTGCTGACCACTCGGCCATTTTCTGTGGTGTCCTTCAACATTGTGCCTATCTGGCAAAGAAGCAGTTCCTCTGCCAGGTTGAAGTTGCTCTGCTTCCGCGCAAGAGAAGCAGTAGACAGCCGTAGCTGGAACAACTGGTTCTTCAGTCCTGCAAAATATTGTTATACAGTAAAACTGTCATATAATACCCCTCGATGCTTTGTGCCAATATATTGCAATGTCCCCTTTCCTTTTATCTTATGAACTCCTCTATAAAAATGCCTCGATGTATCAACAAACGTCGTTGTATCATCAAACGTCGATGCATCATCAAACCTCGATGTATCATCAAACCTATTTATAATGCCAAAATTGGCAATATAGCAAGGTTTATTGCACATACATACATATGTCAACTTAAAACTAGGAAAACCAGCATCAAATCTGCTTTAAATACTTGATTATGTTTACACATGAAGCAAAATAACCTCAGAGCTTGTTTGTATACAGAGGATGATATTCCACACTTTTCTGTTTAAGATCATACATGTTTCACAAGTGGTACTTAACTCATGAAAATATTGGAAAAATCTGACATATGGGTTAAATATACCTGGTAGTTAATTACATTTCCTAAAGTAGACTGCAAATGACTAGTAAAATATTTTGTAGTCTCCAGACATTAGACTAGCCATTACAATCACCAGACATTTTTACATTGTGATATCCATAGCATAAAGCGCAATAGTAATTTTACTTTCAGCAAAATATTTTAGAGCTTAGAACTTATGAATACGGGTGAAAATTGCTAAAATGTCATCACCACCAAAATAAGTACAAAATGACAATAATGATGTTCAGAATTTATAATATAATAATGAGAAGACAACAGGATTAATGTCACCATAATAATAGTTGCTTAAAACCCTGAAACTTATAATAACTCCATATAACCATACATGTATTATGATAATATTCAGTACTCTTCATGGAAGCTCACCATTCTGTTCGTCGAGGTTCGGGAGCTGTTGTTGTAACAAGACCAGCCTCTGTATCTGTAGAAAGGTACTGACATCATGTTCTCCCTCCTCAAATTTCAGGGTCTCGTTCAGGGGCAACAGTATAGCCTGGAAAATACACCCTCCAGTGTCTCAATCTATAACTTTGATACTATAAATCACTTCATTTTCGAGAGAGATTAATTTTGCATTTGGTTCCGAGGATACATTTCATGAATTTAAATTTTGCCTGAATATATAAATTCCTTAGAAAATTACTAGCAACATTGAAATAGCATCCCCTCAACTGTGATATATTATATTCAATCACAAAACCTTAAGGCATAGTTTGCAAAATAAAGTACACTTCAAATTAAGAGATTTTCATGACCACTCCAGATCTAGATCTGTTACTGTGAAAATGGAAATTTTTGTGTTGAGAAATGTTTGGGGTGAAGACCATCCCGACTATTGGCAACGAGATATTTTTCATATCGATGATGCTGCAGATATGCAGTATTGTCAGGCTTAACTGCTGAAAATACTGCATCAAAAATATGACATCATCCTCACTTTGTTTTTCTTGTCCTCCAGCTGTTGACGGAGGGTGACAATGGCCGCCAGCTCTGTGAGGGATTGCTGGGACACGAGGAGTGGCCACTCCATCGACTGAATCCTAAGCATGTTTTCTGCAAGCTTCTCTCCGCGGGAGAGACAGCGCACCATATCCGCCCTAAAAAAAACAACCAGCATTTTATTTCAAAGACACCATATTTGTATTAAATATATACCAGGATATCAGTCAACAAGTGTTTATAAAAAGCAGTACAACGTTTTTTCCCTGACTAAAGTAAAATCATACAACCCAGATTTTTTCCTCAAATTGAACAAAACACAAATTTTGTATAGTAAATATGCAATAAAACGGCACACATGTTCAAACTCCATTCAACTGATTGCCTGAAAAAGGAATGGCATTAACCATGAAATTTTGTCCCATGATTTTCTGTTTACTTCCATAGACTAATACCGGACAGCATACCGGATAGAATCTCTCGCCCCTTGGGGTCAAGAAAGGGGAATCTCAACCCGAGGGGGAAGATTCTTAAGTTGCCAAACACGAGGCTTTGCCGAGTGTTTGGCAACCCTATCTCACGAACAAGGGGGGGAATGATTCTTTTTCTCTTACCCTGTTGTGTGTCATATTTACAATGTAATGATACCGTTACATGCTAAATTCAGGGTTGACGTGACGTTGACGGATTGTTGACGTGGCGTCATTGTATTGTTGAAGTGACATCATACCATTGTTATGAATAGGGAAATCCCCTCGTCTCAACTCTAGGGTGAGACAAGTGCAGATACACCTGTCTAGGGTAAGAGAAAGTGTTTTCCCTGACCTGTTAATAAACCGAGGTACCTGACACTGGACTGTTCCATCATGAGTGAGGGCATCAGTTTTCCGTAATCTGCTGATATACTAGTCTGACTTACTTGACACTGGACTTGTCTAAAGACCACCAGTTTTCCCTAATTGGTTAATAGACTAGTCTGACTGACTTGACACTGGACTGTTCTAAAGACCACCAGTTTTCCCTAATTGGTTAATAGACTAGTCTGACTTACTTGACACTGGACTGTTCCATCATGAGTGAGGCCACCTGGATGAAGTTTCTGTGGACCTGGTCCAGTTTCTGCGCCTGACTCCACAGTTGTGGAGTATGGGCCTTGTCTGCCTTACTGATGTCACTCACACCCGGGACAAGCTCCAGGTTCTCTCTTACAGCTACGTAGTCTTCGTGCTCGAAGGACGATAGGGCCCTGACACACAGCCAATCAAACTCTTAATACGGCACTAATCAAAACGATATACTGTATTTGTTCTATTAAACACACTCCTAGATATTAAAACTTTTCCAAATGAGCATTTATTAGGTTAGTGCTATAGAAAAATAGAAATTTTGATAGAAGTTTAAACATATTATGATGATGTATGTTGTGACAGCTGAATTTATTTTAGCATTGACTTAATGGTAACATTTGTATTAGAGAAGGGGTGAATAAAACAGTGTATTTTTAGTTCTGTGATAACCTATTGGTAATATTCATATTTGAGAAGGTGCATTTGATAGAATAACTTTTGCATTTGCATTGTGTCAAACATAAATCTATTTGTTACATTTTTATCACAGAAGGTGCATTTGACAGAATAGCTATTGCATTTCTAACTGTGTTATACATTATTTCAAATCTGTAACAGACATTACCTAAATGTAAATGTAAACAATGTATTAGTACAATGCAAAACCAGTCCGAAAACATGTGGCCTAAATCATAAAAGACTACACACAGACCAGATGTAGGTTTACAACACATACTTGATGTAGTTGATGTCGACGTCGGTCTTAAAGGCTGACTGTACATCACTAAGATTTGTGTCCTGGCGATACTCCACCACCTGGTCCTGCCACTCGAGCACGGACTCCCAGTCACCCAGTCGCTGGTAACAGTCGACAACCTGTCAACGCAGATGTGAGAGGTCACGACAAAACCAACTCATGATCCCGTGGAAAATGTTCTACTTTTAAGAAAGCGAGACATATTCAACTTTATAAATGCAGGTTTTTTCTTAGAACAATATTTATGGGGGGGGAGGGGGGGAGAGGGGGGCTGCTGAAAGAAGAACATTTTACCAAAAAAATTACAGGGACTATTTAATGAAGCAATTGAACAATTTATGTTGAGATATTGACAATGTTTTCCTGGTGTTCTTAATGAATAATGAAGAAATCCTTAATCGTATGGCTATATTTTTTAGCACCAGTTGCTGCAATCTTTTGCAGTACAGATCTTGGATAATGTTTTATTTCAACATTCCCAGATACAATGCTGACTACATTTTGATTTGTACAGGTTTTCTATCTTGCAAATACTTTGCAGGAGGTTGAAATTTGAGGATTGAGTTCTGACCCTGAATACTGTAACGGAGGAAGTTGTGAAAGTTTTTGCGTAGCAACTTCTACTAATTTCCCTCAAGACAAAAACTTTCATTGATTTTTACAACATGACAATTTTGACATGTAAAATTCCACATATTTCTGCAGCATAAACATTTCCACTTACAAAGTATAATGAAATATGAAACTCTAACAAAGTGTCACCACTGCTGCTATTCAGTGTCAACTTTCAGAAGGTAGATATGTTACTATAGTTCTTACTGAACAAACACATGCAATTTTTCATCTCCAAGGTGCAGACTGCACTTACGAGGGTGGGCTATAGGGAACGGGGTAAAACACCGATGTAGAGAAAGGGCTATAGGGAACAGGGTAAAACACCGATGTAGAGAAAGGGCTATAGGGAACGGGGTAAAATATCGATATAGAGAAAGGGCTATAGGGAACGGGGTAAAACACCGATATAGAGAAAGGGCTATAGGGAAAGGGGGAAAACAACGATGTAGAGAAAGGGCTATAGGGAACGGGGGAAAATACCGATATAGAGAAAGGGCTATAGGGAACGGGGTAAAATACCGATATAGAGAAAGGGCTATAGGGAACGGGGTAAAACACCGATGTAGAGAAAGGGCTATAGGGAACGGGGTAAAATACCGACGTAGAGAAAAAGCAAGGTATACCTGATTGACAACTAAGTTGAGTTTGTTGAGATGTACGGAGGAGTCGTGCTGATGCTGAGTCTGTTGTACCTGTGCTGTCTGTTTACTGAGGATACCGGTGATTCTCTTAGGCATCACCAGCTCACTGGTCGCCCGACCGCCCTCATCGTCCACACGCCATTCCTCGGAGCCGTCCGTGGTCAGCATGGTCTTCAGGACCGACTTGAACTCGGCTGCCGCACTCTCATATCTACAAGTTAAAATGTATCAGACACTTCAATAACCATTCACATCACCTATTATTAGATCTGCAATGTATTATTTATCCGATATCTTAAATATCTGGGGTTATTTTGAAGGATTTTAATGGTTATATTGACTTAGACACGAGATGCATTTTCATAACTGCATGTTTATCAATAAACATTACAACAAGGAATCAACATTTTCTTTATTTCAGTTTCTAATCCGTAAAATCGACTTAACTGCAATGGAAATAACATGACCCAGTAAGCAGTTGTAAGATACATTTTTCGTACTTTTGTGTCCAATCTAGTTTCAGTTTAGCTCCATGTATTAATGGTTGAACACTTTTGTATCTAATTCTTATGAAATGTAACAAATGTTTATTGATCTCTCCTTTCAATCTCTTGCGTAAATCCTCAGTATCTGCAACATGCTACAATAAATTGGTCCTACCAATTGAACAGACCGATACATGATGATCTTGTGTAAATCTAAAATTCATTCGATACCATGTAGGCCTATTCCTCGACCTACTGCTGATTTGGAACCTAAAAAGATTTGAATTAGCAGGGTTTCTTTTATGTATCCTGAAATCAAGGAAGATAGCTGGTAGTACAAGCCTTACCTTCCTGAAGCCTTCTCCACAGCAGCCTTGATCAAACTGAGCTTCTTGCTTGTGAGGTCCTTACACCAGGTGTACAGTCCACTCACAGCGTCGGCCTGCTTCAGGTCACACAGGGCTTGTACCAGATACACCAATGTCTGCTCAAACTCTGGCGTCTACAGCGGAACAAACAAAAAGACACGTGAGGTGTGTGATGATCTTCAACAAAACATTTTGAACTCAACAGATCAAAGCAACAGAATATTTCCCAATTTTGAGGATGAGATAAGGGAATCTCAACCAGAGGAAGAAGACTCTTAAGTTGCCAAACACAAACACAAGACTTTGCCAAGTGTTTGGCAACTTAAGAATCTTTCCCCGAGGGTTGAGATTCCCCTATCTCATCCTCAAGGGGGGTGTATGATTCTTTTTCTCTTACCCTGTTCACCTATTGTGTATCATATACATAATGTAATGTTAACGTTACATGCTAAATTCAGGGTTGACGTGACGTCGATTGATTGTTGACGTGACGTCATTGTATTATTGAAGTGACGTCATACCATTGTTACGAATAGGGGAATCCCCCCGTCTCAACCCTAGGGTGAGACAAGGATATCTCACACCAGTAAAAGTGTGGATACACCTGTCCACATAAATTCTAATCTGTGATGTAACCTCCTTCAACATAACACTGTTATCAGTATGTTTGACCTTACCTGTGTGTTGTTGTTTTCCTTCATGTCCCTCAGCAGCTCGTGAGCCTGTCTGACAGCCATGGCCGGCATCCCAGCATGCAATGCTATCTTGATGATGTTGGAGCGTATCCTTGACAACCACTCCAGACATGTGGCTTTGTTAGTTCTGAAGAATGTCCTAACAACCTAAAACAATGCAAAGTATTTGATGCAGATGTGTCAAGTCTTTGTGTTGTTATTAATACAAATAGCCAGCCTATACAGATCTTACTAGTCAACTAGATAGAGAATCAAGATTCATTTGTGTTTTCTCAGCATACCCTGTCATGTATATTAAAATATGGTACAAACTGAAATTCTATTGATTCATGCAGCAAGTAAATCAGATAGTATAAACGTTTGTTGTTGTTGACATGACAATAAAACAACTCGGACATAGTACAGTATTATTTCTGGTTTGACAACAGCACAACCCGCAAACAGTCAAATTTTACTGATGACATGACAACGGCACCACACTCATATAGTAACATTTCACTGTTGGCATGACATCAGCACAACCCTTACAAAATAAAGTTTTGTTTTCTTATGTCAATAGTCACGAAAAACATTTTGAGATAAAGACAGTATAAAAGATGTTTTAAAATGATTTTTCTTACAGACACAGGTCTTATATAACAGACCACACTAGCTTACCTTGGGTGCCATTGGCATCGCAGCTGCACATCCTTCGTAGGCATTGTAGAGTAACTTCTCCAGCTGTTCCATGAATGACAGCAGGAGCTGGACCCTGAGGTGACACCCCAGATCTCCGTTCTTCTCTCCTATAGTACACAACAGGACGTCGCATCAGTCAGACAAAATAGATCATAGGACTGACTGTACTAAACAGGATACGTAAGCCAGTCAACTACCAAAGACCAGTAAATTTGTGAAAAATCTTCCATTTATGAAAGCTCATCAATTCATGCATCTATACAAATGTACTAGTCTTCGTGTTTTGTTTTATTTATATTTTTACCGTCATATGGACATTTAAAGCTATTTATCGCCATGTATCTATATATAGAGTTAAAATCTAAAGTTGTACATGTATTCACGATCTGAAACATCAATGACAAATCTATTTGGACGTATTGTTATCAAAGAACATTTGTGTACCATTAGTACGACCATAAATAACTGTCATACATACTTTATTTGAAGAAAAGAGATAAAAAAAATAAAAATAACAAATTCACCTTAATTTTGCAAATGCATGAGTTACAGACTTTTAATAACTTACATGTGACGATCGTTAATAATTTTCTGACATTTGCAATAGGCCTCCATTAATTTGTTTTGTCTCTTTAATACCTTTCTTTTGGTCTCCCTTTGATTTGTCTGTGTCCTCCTGTAGGTGGCTCAGCATGTCAATGGCCACTGTTTTGATCACGCCTTCAATAGATGTAAAAGTTTCCTGAGGTTTTCCGAGTGGTGTTCTCAGGCGATTTAGTATGCAGTACTGGGCAGCCTCCCACGTGGCCCAAAACCAGAGCATACCCTCATTACCATCCACCTGCAATCGGTAACCAATACAAATTATTCAAACTGTTCCTTTGAATCAATTTCTCAGACATCACATTTTTGAAACATTCTATTCTATTAATTGGATTTTCCAGTTTTAAAAAGTTAGAACAAATTATACAACTGATTTTTCACAAGTCTGACATCATTTCAATTATTATGTCCGAGATCCAAGCGATTCAATCCAGGTTGTGTCAGAACTAGGAAATGTTTGTAAAATATTCATATGCCTCCCATATAACTCTTTGATGGAGCTAAATTCAAAGTCAACTTGAGTCAGTGATGTAGAAAATATAGTACATAGTGATATACATTTTATATATTGGTGTAGTACTTTACACAAGAAGCTTGTGATGAATGTTTGAATCTAGTATTTAAGTAATGAAGCTTAACACAAAGTCTAAACAAGGTGTTATATTAATGGACTGGTGGAAAAGGAAAACACTTTATGATACCTCCCTCAACTATATCTTCAAGGAAACATATAGATGTTTTCATATTCTTTAATTTCATTTACTAGTTACAATTATTTCTTATTAGGTGGGCAATGAATTTGCTGTGTTTATATTTCACACAGTTTTGTGAATATAACAAAAACAAAATCCCTGCAAGATGTCAGTGCTTTACACACAGTTCCCGTTTTTTGCAGTATTACTTACAAAGTCTCTGAGATTGAAGGAGTCCGAGGAATGCCGCGGGTCCGGAGTCGATGACTGACAGCTGTAGAACATTGCTTCCAGCCAATTCCAGCTTCCAGATTGTCTGCATGTACACAAAAGTAAAGTCCGACTATATAGAGATTTGTAGTGACAGAAACAATTACTGTATCGAGATCTACAATAAATTCCAGAGGAGGGAAATTTATGGCATTCCTCAGTAAATTGGTATTTAAGAATGCTGATGCATATTGCCATTTAAATCTGTAACAATGAATTAATGTGGTCATATTTTCAGATATACATGTAGTAGGCAATGTTCTTGGTATTGATCCTGAAAATAAAGGGACTCTATTTTATTAGGTGGCCATTTTTGCTGATTTTCAGGATCAGCCCGAAAATATGTATTCATCAAAATATATTACAAGACAAATCCTGGAAATTATATTACCAATTAGATAAGATGATAATTGAAACATTTTGGAAGGATCCCCAAAAAAATGTACCACTGAAATCAAATCGAATTTCGAGAAAAAAAATCGGGATTAATCCCTAAAAGCATCTTTCTTAAATCACAAGTTCAAAATATGGATCACAGAAATAAATCAACATAGACAAAACAGAGATATAACAGAAAATTAAAAATAGAGACAAACAGAGATGACTTACACTGGCTGTTTGTTGTGGAGGATAAAGGCCATCACATGTCTGAAGTTGAGGGAGTGGAAACCCCCACTGGGGATCTTATTCATGTGACATCTCTTGGCAAGCCACGCCGCAGTGACCCCCTCAGCACCCTCCTGTAGACTGACCGCCTGGTCACTATCGTCACACAGGTGTAGCAGGCTGGTCAGTCTGTAAAATAGATCACACACTTGTTATCACTGACAAGTTTGTGTTCACACAAGGAGATTGTGAAATACATGAAAAGTATCATAATAGAGCTATTCCGATACTAATTACATGGGGTTATATGCAAAAGACTGAAATTAAAAAGGTACAACCGGCTTTACACATATATCTTTTATCTATTTAATTCCCAAATTTCTCTACAACTAATTCTTCAAAAATCTGTATTTCATCTTTTTTCAAGTTTATGAGGTATTCTTTTCAAACATCTATTCCACTCCAGAACTCCACGTTTATTTTGAGGTGCTACCCATGGAATTGTATCTCACCTTGTAGTAATGTTGACTGGGGAATGGGGATGGAAGGGGGTGTTATGCCTCACCTTGTAGTATTGTTGACTGGGGAATGGGTATGGAAGGGGGTGTAATGCCTCACCTTGTAGTAATGTTGACTGGGGAATGGGGAGTGAAGGGGATGTAATGCCTCACCTTGTAGTAATGTTGACTGGGGAATGGGGAGGGAAGGGGATGTAATGCCTCACCTTGTAGTAATCTTGACTGGGGAATGGGGAGGGAAGGAGGTGTAATGCCTCACCGTGTAGTAATGTTGACTGGGGAATGGGGATGGAAGGGGTGTAATGCCTCACCTTGTAGTAATGTTGACTGGGAGGAGTTTGAGCAGTTTGAAGAAGGCTTCCCTCACCACCGCTCTGTTGTCTGTCAGTTTATACACACTCAGCTTGACGCTCCTAAAACAGCATCAGGACCATCGTTATCACCCAGGGTATTGACTTTGATATGAAACCTTATGCATTTATTAACTTTTAATGGAATGAAAAATAGACTCCCGATGAGTGATACTGAATGCAATTATATGTTTCACTTTGTGATGACAAATACAGGGCACAGAGTAATTTTCAGGCATTCTTTTCAGTACTGATAAAAAAAGGTACTTTCTTTAAAGTATCATACATTTAAATACATTTAAATCAACTTATAATACACATGTACATCATTAGCTTTGCCTAAGAAATACCTGGCCAGTGTTGACCTATGAGAAACTGTAAACGAGAGGACACTCAGGTAATAGTTTTTCCTTACCTCTGCATTACAGAGGACGGGAGGTTGTTGTTCATCTTGAAGACGTTCTGTAGACACTGACAGATTGACATGGTGACCTGAAGGTCCTGGCTGTGACCTGTTCACAAAACACATGTGGATAAAAGTGCGGCACATACACTCAAGAAAATAGCTTGACAAACCTTTTTACTGAACTTCAAAAAATTTGTATCACTTAAAAATCTTTTCATCAGTTTTAAATGTTAAAGATTAGATGTAAGTATGTCTGTCACAATTTTTTTTGTCAAATTATTTTTCAATAGTTTTAAACATACAATAAGTATGTATTTCACACATAATACTATAGATCATTAAATAAAACATCTGACTACTTGATAAATACTAAGTGTATTTTGAACACAAACAACAGTAAATGAAAACGTCTTTTGCGAGCCTTCAAAAACAGCTTTCCTTTGTCCAGCAAAGAGTGCAAATTGCCGGTGTCTCAATTCTAAACTGCTGAAAACAACTCACTAAGCCACAGTGTGCCAAGACTGTAAGGATCAGCTGTCAGAAAATATCGGGACATTTTGTCCAAATAGCACTCTAATACTGCATGTAGTCACGAGGGACGGGTAATATGTTTACCCATTCCGACCCTCAATGGATGTCAAAATGGAGGAGTTTAAATGTAGTTACGAGGGACGGGTAATATGTTTACCCATTCCGACCCTCAGTGGATGTTAAAATGGAGGAGTTTAAATGCATTTATCATTCGTACCGAACTGATTAATTTCATTCCTAATATCAGACTACTTACCCAGGTGTATGACGACCCTGATGAGGACGACAAAGTTGTCCATGGAGAAGATATGAGTGCTGCTGTTGAGACCGGAAATGATGTCGCCGATCCACTTCAAGCACAGACAACTGTGGGACAAACAACGATATTCTGTATTATTTGAAAGGATGGAGAGTGCATACTCAGTTAAACTATCTGTCCCTGGTACTTAATAAGTCTGGTCCTCAGTAAAGCTAACTGTTTAATCCCTGGTACTCAGTAAAGCTATATATTGTACCCCTGGTACTCAGTCTGGTACACAGTAAAGCTATATATTGTACCACTCGTACTCAGTGTGTTACTCAATAAAGCTAACTGTTTAATCCCTGGTACTCAGTAAACCTATATATTGTACCCCTGGTACTCAGTCTGTTAATCAGTAAAGCTATATATTGTACCCCTGGGACTCAGTCTGGTACTCAGTAAAGCTATGTATTGTACCCCTGGTACTCAGTCTGGTATTCAGTAAAGCTATATATTGTACCCCTGGTAATCAGTCTGGTACTCAGTAAAGCTATATAGTGTACCCCTGGTACTCAGTCTGGTGCTCAGTAAAGCTATATATTGTACCCCTTGTACTCAGTCTGGTACTCAGTAAAGCTATGTATTGTACCCCTGGTACTCAGTCTGGTACTAAGTAAAGCTATATATTGTACCCCTATCAGACTACTTACCCAGGTGTATGACGACCCTGATGAGGACGACAAAGTTGTCCATGGAGAAGATATGAGTGCTGCTGTTGAGACCGGAAATGATGTCGCCGATCCACTTCAAGCACAGACAACTGTGGGACAAACAACGATATTCTGTATTATTTGAAAGGATGGAGAGTGCATACCCAGTTAAACTATCTGTCCCTGGTACTTAATAAGTCTGGTCCTCAGTAAAGCTACCTGTTTAATCCCTGGTCCTCAGTAAAGCTATATATTGTACCACTTGTACTCAGTCTGGTACTTAGTAAAGCTATATATTGTTCCCCTGGTACTCAGTCTTGTACTTAGTAAAGCTATATAGTGTACCCCTGGTACTCAGTCTGGTGCTCAGTAAAGCTATATATTGTACCCCTATCAGACTACTTACCCAGGTGTATGACGACCCTGATGAGGACGACAAAGTTGTCCATGGAGAAGATATGAGTGCTGCTGTTGAGACCGGAAATGATGTCGCCGATCCACTTCAAGCACAGACAACTGTGGGACAAACAACGATATTCTGTATTATTTGAAAGGATGGAGAGTGCATACTCAGTTAAACTATCTGTCCCTGGTACTTAATAAGTCTGGTCCTCAGCAAAGCTAACTGTTTAATCCCTGGTACTCAGTAAACCTATATATTGTACCCCTGGTACTCAGTTTGGTACTCAGTAAAGCTATATATTGTAACCCTGGTACTCAGTCTGGTACTCAGTAAAGTTATATATTGTACCACTGGTACTCAGTCTGGTAGTCAGTAAAGCTATATATTGTACCCCTGTTACTCAGTAAAGCTATATATTGTACCCCTGATACTCAGTCTGGTACTTAGTAAAGCTATATATTGTTCCCCTGGTACTCAGTCTTGTACTTAGTAAAGCTATATAGTGTACCCCTGGTACTCAGTCTGGTACTAAGTAAAGCTATATATTGTACCCCTGGTAATCAGTCTGTTACTCAGTAAAGCTATATATTGTACCCCTATCAGACTACTTACCCAGGTGTATGACGACCCTGATGAGGACGACAAAGTTGTCCATGGAGAAGATATGAGTGCTGCTGTTGAGACCGGAAATGATGTCGCCGATCCACTTCAAGCACAGACAACTGTGGGACAAACAACGATATTCTGTATTATTTGAAAGGATGGAGAGTGCATACTCAGTTAAACTATCTGTCCCTGGTACTTAATAAGTCTGGTCCTCAGTAAAGCTAACTGTCTAATCCCTGGTACTCAGTAAAGCTATATGTTGTACCCCTGGTACTCAGTCTGGTACTTAGTAAAGCTATATAGTGTACCCCTGGTACTCAATAAAGCTAACTATTTAATCCCTGGTACTCAGTAAAGCTATATAGTGTACCCCTGGTACTCAATAAAGCTACTATTTAATCCCTGGTACACAGTAAAGCTATATATTGTACCACTGGTACGCAGTCTGGTACTTAGTAAAGCTATATATTGTACCCCTGGTACTCAATAAAGCTAACTATTTAAACCCTGGTACTCAGTAAAGCTATATATTGTACCCCTGGTACTCAGTCTGTTACTCAGTAAAGCTTTATATTGTACTCCTGGTACTCAATAAAGCTATATATTGTGACCCTGGTACTCAGTCCGGTACTCAGTAAAGCTATATATTTTACCCCTGGTACTCAGTAAAGATATATATTGTACCCCTGGCACTCAGTCTGGTACTTAGTCAAGCTATATATTGTACCACTAGTACTCAGTCTGGTAATTAGTAAAGCTATATAGTGTACCCCTGGTACTCAGTCTGGTACTCAGTAAAGCTATATATTGTAACCCTGGTACTCAGTCTGGTACTTAGTAAAGCTATATATTGTACTCCTGGTACTCAATAAAGCTAACTATTTAATCCCTGGTACTCAGTAAAGCTATATATTGTACCCCTGGTACTCAGTAAAGCTATATATTGTACCGCTGGTACTCAGTCTGTTACTCAATAAAGCTAACTGTTTAAACCCTGGTACTCAGTAAAGCTATATATCGTAACCCTGGTACTCAGTCTGGCACTTAGTAAAGCTATATATTGTACCCCTGGTACTCAGTAAAGCTATATATTTTACCCCTGGTACTCAGTCTGGTAGTCAGTAAAGCTATATATTGTACCACTGGTACTCAGTCTGGTACTCAATAAATCTTTTATTGTATCCCTGATACTCAAAAAGTCAGGTACTCCATAAAGCTATTTATTGTATCCCTGATACTCAAAATACTCTGATACTCAGTAAAGCTATTTATAGTATCTCTGTTACTCAAAAAATCTGGTACTTAGTGAGTTTGGTATTTGGTAAAGATATCTGTTCTGTCCCAGTACTCACCGACTATCGTAGGAGGTACTGTTGCTGGCGAGGAGGCCTGTAAGCAGTCTGAGGATTCGTGAGAAGTTGTTGCTGGTTGTTGGGCTGACGTTTGCCAGTACAGAGCCCTCCTTATACGAGTTCTGTGTCAACAAACTGCTGCTTGATATGAAGTTTCCGTGCCTACAAAAGACAGACTTATAAAAATTCTTCCTGTGCAGTCACGTATCTTTATTTGTAAATTCTTTAGGGCTATTCCATAATTAACCGTATGGAGAGGTTGGAGCCACTTGTATAAATCTATTATGGGTGGTGGTTTATAAAACCAGATCTTTCTACACTTCCTGATATTGAATAATTTATCATTTTCAGTATCCTGATGGGTGGTGGGTCTTTGGAAAACTGCCTCCAACCCTCCTGTATGGTTGCCCTCCAACCCTCCCTATGGTTGCCCTCCAACCCTCCTGCATGGTTGCCCTCCAACCCTCCTGTATGGTTCCTTCTGTAACAGCCCTTAGTATTAAAACATAAAAACAAACTCAACCAGTGGGAGATTTTTTCAGTTCTTTTCTTCAATCATAAACGTCCCCAACATGAATAATATAATATTACCAGCGATATATATGTACATACCTGGTGCAATGGGAGAAAAGAGCATTGAGGATGGCATACTGTATGGCAGGGTATCTCTCCGCCACCGACAACTCCAACGGGTCGAAATGTCGGCCTATCAGGTCAAATATACTGGGGGACAGTGCCCACATCTAAAAACACAAATACACAAAGAGTTAATTAATTCAACATCATTATCCTACCCTAGATTATCAGTGTCACAACTGATGATAATCAATAACAGTTTATGTCCAAATGGCTGAGTTTGAGTATAATTACAAGCTACAGTGACTTTGGAACCAAACTCATGAGATTGGATGTTCTTCATAATCAATTCTCACAAGCCGAATAGCTGGTTCATCTCATAGCACATGTATTGAAGAAATCAAACTGTTTACCAAGAAATACCAAATGAGAAACACCAACCCCTTCCATATATATTTTTACATTTTAACATCTTTTTAGAAGTACACAATAGTGAAACCTGTCTTGATATCCTAACTAATCCAACAAAGGATGTCATTCCATATCTTCTGTAAATTAACAATCCCCCATTGGATAGGTTTCACTGTATTGTACCACTCTTCTGTGAGGTGAGTCTCCAAGGGTTAAACACAACATACCGCTATGAGGTTATTCTTGGTGTTGCCAATCTCTGCCAAAGCACACAGGTTGAACACACAGACAGTCTGCGCATGCAAAATGGTGTATTGGGTGGATTTGAAAGGGTTGTCAGGGATAAGGTCAACCATCTTTCTCTCCTTGGCCTCCAATAACAGCAAGTTGTATGCACGCTGTAGGTCACCGACAATGAACCTGGACACACAAATAAAAAAAAATCAGGATTTCGTTTATAACATTTGAATTTCGGAAAGGATAAAATAGATACATGTCTTTTGCTGAGATTTTGCTTCATATTTACAATATTTTCAATAAACATGAAATATAAATCTTACAAAATATGAGTTGTTTAAACAAGATCTTACTTGTAGGCCTCCTCCAATAATGGGACACTCTTCAGAGCCATGATATCGTGGTACAAAGCCATCAGCTGCTCAACAACCTGACAATAAACCAATCCATGGTGTCAAACTGAGGCCTTTTTCTAGTGAAATGGATTACCTGGTATCATAAACTGTCTACACTTAACCCTGTGTTATCTGGAATCCTGTATAAACTAAATACTCTACACCAGTGAAATGAAACAACTTCAAATTGAAAAGAAACTTAGTTTACTTAAGTTTATATAGAGAAATATTCGTTACATGGAAGAAATGTTATAATCAGCGGGTTATCGTAATATCCGATATCATGATTAGTGGGTTCCGCTGTACATCAAGTGAGGAATTATTATGAAAACAGGAGATGGCGACCTTGAAATATGTTGACGGTAAGTGAGGTGGAATATGAAACAAAGGTCATTGTATCAGTGTTTTACTGTACCAAAGAAACGTTAGAGGCTGACAATGGTTTAAGTAGTAAGTCATCATTATTATTTTAAGAATTCATGCAAAGTATTTTTTTAAGAAAGACGGGATATCTTTATCCGAGTTTGATTTCAGCAGCTCTCTGACTGCCTAATAAACTTCTAGCTTAATGACAGTGGATAGGGTCATACCAACTTACCTCCTCACTCTGTGAGAACCGACACTGCTGCAGCAGTGAGCCTGGCGCGAGGAGTTGTGACAGGAATGTCACAGTCAGCTGGATACCATACATCTCTACCACCTGTAATTCAAAGCAGTATTATACAGAGTGGAATATCAAAACTGCTCCAGGCACAATAAAATGGCAAAATGTCAGGAAAAGGTCTGGCATCAATTTTGTTATAGATATTCTCAAAAAAAAAAAAAAATGTAAAAAAAAAAAAGTGTAAAAAATTCAAAGTATGCGATCTTTCTCAATTCTATTTTCTTCTTTCCCCTGTTTAATGCCGTATTATTTTTGAATAAGGAATAGAATATTAGGTAAAAACATTTTGTATTCATTTTTCTTGATACCAAGAAAACTGGATAATGCAACATAGATGCATTTCCCCATAAGATAAATTGGTTAAGAGGAAGTATTCAGCCCTGAAAAGAAATATGTCACTAAAAATAATTATCAACAAATCACACTTTGTCTTATAATTGATTTGTCTTTTTTAATAAACAAAGTATGAGAATTCCACATGATGAAACTGTCCATGTATTCATGAATCCATCACTGACATGGATACACAATAACCTGGTTAACTGACCTTCTGTATGGTGGTCAGCAGAGAGTGGATGTACTTGTAGCTGACCAGGTCAGCCCGTCCAGTCTGGGTGAGGATGAAGGATAGGAGACAGCTACTGTGGACCACATCTGTCTGCAGCTGGTGGACCAATAGGCACACACATCTGTTGGCTAATAGAATTACAAAGTATAGGTAAATAGAAAGTACTGGTTCAGACAAATTTAATTCTAAACAATACAAAGTATATGTTAATAGAAAGTTATAGTTCAACAAATTTTATATTCAAGAATACAATGTATAGGTAAATAGAAAGTTATAGTTAATCTAATATAGTAGATTGAAAGTCATGGTTGAGACAACATTTGATCCTTGACAATGCATTTTATAGGTAAAGAGAAACTAAATCTTCAAAATGATTGTTGCCAATTTGAAATACACAGTAAGTAAATTAACTGATTGAAACTGCTGTAGGGAAAGAACAATACAAATAATTAGCTAGTAGAAATACTGGTATGTGTGCAGGTGACAACTGAACATCCAAAAGACCAGTTAAACCTAGGCTACATTTGCGTATCCCGGTTGAAACGGTACGTGTGGCGCAGAAATGGTCCACGATAAACGAACGCAATTGGACCGTTATATAAAGCAGAGCTAAAAATGCACAGTTTCGGAGAATAAAAAACAATGTTTCAAGAATATTATGACCTTCTTTCATCCGTCCACTGAATTACATAATGTATCTTAAAAACTACATGTGACTTGACATTATTTTAGAAGGAAATAACACAAACTGGCAATAATCAGCATTTTAGTTTCGGTCAGGTACATCTGGACCCCTCAATCTACACATGCCAAATTTTCCAGAGGTCAGCCAGATCTGTGCCTGTTGTTTTCTTTACAGGTTCAACCGTTTCAACCGGATACGCGAATGTACCCCATGTGTGACAAACCACCATCTTTTACCCAAAAATTGTGGTACTTTCTACTTTCAACCAAAGACAAACCAGACAACGACTTACCTGTAACAAGTACGGACTCGGAGAAGTAGTTCTTCACAACAATTTCTACACTCTTCACAATTCTGTCCAGAACCTAGTCAAAAGTAAATCAAAGTATCAAGTACATGTACCAGTATCAATCAATGATTTCTGATGTCTTTCAATCTACAGTGTGTGTTGTGTTACATATTTTTCCTGCTTTCAATTGGTTTGGAAAGTGCTAAAATATCTTTTACCATCAGTAATGACATATCTCCCATCACATTTCGAAACAAGTATTAAAACATTTTTTCTTTATACAGTATTACCAAAACGGTGATAAAAATATCCAGAATTCCTTGGGAACTCCAGACTTACCTCTACAATATACTCCCATGTGATCTGACTACTGTTCCCTGGGTGTAGACTGTCCCCTAGACTTACCTCTACACTATACTCCCGTGTGATCTGACTACTGTTCCCTTGGTGTAGACTGTCCCCTAGACTTACCTCTACACTATACTCCCGTGTGATCTGACTACTGTTCCCTGGATGTAGACTGTCCCCTAGACTTACCTCTACACTATACTCCCGTGTGATCTGACTACTGTTCCCTGGATGTAGACTGTCCCCTAGACTTACCTCTACACTATACTCCCGTGTGATCTGACTACTGTTCCCTGGATGTAGACTGTCCCCTAGACTTACCTCTACACTATACTCCCGTGTGATCTGACTACTGTTCCCTGGATGTAGACTGTCCCCTAGACTTACCTCTACAATATACTCCCGTGTGATCTGACTACTGTTCCCTGGGTGTAGACTGTCCCCTAGACTTACCTCTACAATATACTCC